GGTGTCAGAAGTGTGATCCAGTTTCCAAGTAGAGAGATTGTGAGCTGGTGGTATTCCTGTTGAACCAAGATGCAACAAATAATGGAGGTTCTTGCAGAAATAAAAAATGGCCAGCAGGATTTAAAACAAGACCTCAAATAGGAGCTGGAGACTTCGCAAAAGTAATTAAGACAAGACCTAAAACAAGATCTAAAACAAGAGCTGGAGGTTTCCCAGAAAGGGCTCAGAGAGAACTTCCACATTGAGATGAGTTTGTTGTATGGAGCTGCAACTAAAAAACACTTGGACAGACTGGGAAACCCAGTGGCAACATACCCGGGCTAGAATGGTAAAACAGATTGATGAGGTGAACAACAATCTGATTAAAGTTTTTCCATGAAGCAGTGGAAACCAAACAGACTTTGGCCAATTTGGAACTTGCTGAGATGAGTTGCAGCATGGACTTGAGTTGAAAAATTCAGGTCCAGAAGGAAATCAAAGGGTCACAGACCACAGTGGAAGATAGCTGTCTGGATGAGGAACTGAGCCAGCCGGAGGACTAGGGTAATACCAGACATTTACAACAATTTTCTGCCCCATTTGTAACCCACCAAGGCTCAGAGGGGACAAGTCGGTTTGTCCCAGCTCAAATAATGAAAAAACTTCCTGGCAGAGGCGACGCATGGAAGGGCATGCAGGGTCACATGCCCCTCCCCCCCCCAGATTTGCTGGTTGGCTTATACAGAGCATGCTCACATGGACTGAGCATGCTCAGTAACACTGCTGAAGCTGGCTGCCCTCACTCTGCCGCCCTCCCTCCCCCACTATCAGCAAGCACGGGTCGTCGCTGCTGGGAGGCTCATTTGGCTCAGTTCAACATTATAGCTCAAATGAATGGCTGGGAGGAAAGACAGAAAGCGGGATTACTATCAGCCAACTTGGGTGGGCCAGCTCTAATTGTGCTACAGAACTTACCCACAGAAAAAAAAACTGAATTAGCCAGACCTGGTACAAGCCCTTGACATGCAGTTTGGAGTTAGCCATCAATCTGATCTGGCCCAGGTACCGCTAAGAGGCTATAGCTAGAAGTAGAAGGAAAGAAGAAATCCCATGTGAGCTGGCAGAGAACCTGCAAAGACTTATGTTCTGAGCATCACCAGATACCATCAAGGCTCTCAACGCTAAACTGGCAATGGACCAATTTATAAATGCTTGGCTGGACTTGGACTTGCAGATCAAAATCAGCAAAAGGAATCCAATTTTCCACAGAACTTGCATCTTTTCTTGTAACAGTGTCCAGAAGATAATGTAGCTGCTAGTGTAGACGATGGAAGCTGATCACCATGAGCCCTGTAAATACAGCTCTGTGGTCCCATATGTACGATGAAAGAAGAGATTCTAATCTGTTTCAGGACCTTATTGAATAAGAAGAAAAACTGATAAATTTGGTGTGTAAAACAAGGGAAATTGGCAATAATGCAAAAATTAAAGGAAACAGTTCAGTTAAACGTTGGTACTGTGACAAAATTGGCCACAGAAAGGATTGTTATCAATATAAGATAGGCCAAGAGAGACTCTTGAAAGTGTCCAGTGAAAGCCCCTTCCCCAGTTCAGGAAATGAAGGAACACCAACCTGAAGGGACAAGGTTAGGGGAGATACAAGGACCAACCCCACAGATTTTGTTTAGAGCTTGGCAGTCAAACAACAATAATAGGAGTATGGCTACACCACAGAAACATTAACCCAGGAACCAAACCCTGTAATAAACCCCATTGCCTACTACGTCCCCATACCTACTCTAGTGACACCATCAGAGGACCCAATCACACCAGCCACACCATCAGGGGCTCATTCACCTGCACATCTACTAATGTGATATATGCCATCATGTGCCAACAATGCCCCTCTGCCATGTACATTGGCCAAACCGGACAGTCTCTACGTAAAAGGATAAATGGACACAAATCAGACATCAGGTATGGTAACATACAAAAGCCAGTAGGAGAACACTTCAATCGCCCTGGACATTCAATAACAGATTTAAAAGTAGCCATTCTTCAACAAAAAAACACTTCAAAAACGGACTTCAAAGAGAAACTGCACAGCTACAATTCATTTTCAAACTTAACACCATTAATCTGGGCTTGAATAGGGACTGGCTGGTTCACTACAAAAGCAATTTTCCCTGTCTTGGTATTGACACCTCCTCATCAATTATTGGGAGTGGACCACATCCACCCTGACTGAATTGGCCTTGTCAACACTGGTTCTCCACCTGTAAGGTAACTCCCTTTTCTTCATGTTCCAATATATTTATGCCTGTATCTCTAATTTTCACTCATTCATCTGAAGAAGTGGGGTTTTTACCCACGAAAGCTTATGCCCAAATAAATCTGTTAGTCTTTAAGGTGCCACCAGACTCCTCGTTGTTTTTGTGGATACTAACACAGCTATCTCTCTGATACTTGGCTATTAACTGTGTAATCAATGTCAGGAAAGGTATCTTACAAATTCAATCTGTGAAATTCCCTTTAAAGATACGGCCCAGGTGGGATAAATTATTTGTAGGTAATTGGTTTGCAGTGGAAAAATTGTCCTGCCCCTGGGGGCATTATAACAGCTACATGCTTTGGTAGCTTTCCAACAAAGGAAAGATAGAGTGGCTGAAATCTGTTTTGAGACCCAGGGTCTCAGGGTAATCTTAGCTGCTAAAGCTCTTGTGAACCTGAAATAAAAACTGATCCCATTTGTTTGCTGAATGTTTCTGACAAGCAGCAAATAGAAAAAAAGGGAAAGTGATCAGCACACTGAAAAAGGCTTTTGTGATTGTTCCTGTCTTGGCCTATCCATGTTTCAAATCCCCTTTCATAGTGGACACAGAGGCTAGTTCTTACAGTTTGATGGACAGAACTTCAGCTTGCCTGCCTGACCACCTCCCCCGCAAATCTGAGAATGTAGCTGTGGAAGTTGAGGCTAGAAAAGTTGTTACAGAGATGAATTCCCCATTCAGATAGAACAGGCAGGGTCTGCTTCAGCCAGCAAGTTCAGCAGAAACAATAGGCATTCCTCAGGGGCTGACTGAAAGGTGATATGAAACTATCCTGACAGAAAGATACTGTAGAAATGTAAATAGTTAAGCTTGTATCAGTAGCAATATGTTAAATTATTTCTTTCTGTTTAGGGTGGGGTTATTGGGTATCGTCATTTTAGGCCTCATTGGGATGACAGACAAGGCTGAGGTGAGTGGGGGGATTTTATTGTAGGTGAAACCTTATTATGGGCTGAGTTAAAAATTCATTCAAACTGATGTATGAACAAGTCCTCCATTTAAGATAGTGTAAAAGACAATTAAGGGGCCACAACTAAAACAAAGCCTAAGAAAGTCTGCCCAGAAACTAGCACTATGTGGGCGAAGGGTTCAACTGGGTATTGTGACCAGGTGTGCATAAGGGTGTGAAAATACACAGAAACAGAGGCCAGACAACAAGGGAGAGAGGAGGAGAGGCAAGAAAGCCAAGCAGAAGCCTGTAAGCACAATAGGCATGTCTAGACTGCAGCAGCAAGTCTCAGAGCCCGGGGCAACTGACTTGGGCTCGCACTACAGGGCTAAAAATAGCAGTGTGGACATTCTTGTTCAGGCTGGAGCCCGGGCTCTGAAACCCAGTGAGGGTGGTGGGTATCAGAGCCCAGGCTCCAGTCTGAGCAGGAACAACTTCAGAGCTATTTTTAGCCCTGCAGCATGAGCCTGAGTCAGTTGGCCCAGGCTCTGAGACTCGCTGCCATGGTTGGTTTTTTTTGTTTGTTTTCAGGGTAGATGTACCCAGTGTGATCCTGGAAAAAAACTAGAGAGTGAGTTTTTGGGTCTGTTTTTTGCTAAAGAGTCTTGGGGGCTGTAAGCTAAAAAATGCTCCGTTTGTTCTTGATTCCTTCTGCATTGAGAGACACAGGATTTTGTACATTCCTTGTAAATAAACAAGATTGCATCAAAGAAAATACCAGACTCCATCAATTTCTACTTCCACCTGGAACATCCCGGGGGACCCAAACTTTGACTAGCTGCTCAGGTTGAAAAGGGCCGCTACAAGCAACAGGAGGAACAAATTGCTCTTCTCCCATTAAAAGCTGGTTTTTCTCTTTCCCAGCAGTTAAGAATGATCTTTTGGTAAGGATAGAGGGGTAGCTCTGCTTCAACCTCAATGATGGTCAGTGTCTAAAAGGTACAATCTGGTCCTTCAAAGGCTGTGAATTAACAAATCTGTTGAGATGAAATGCTGGTTTGGTGTAAAATGGCTTATCTGGTTGGATTTTAAATGTCACCATAATATTTTTCGTGTAATGTAGAGGGCCTGTATAGAAATATAGCGTCAATTTAGAAGTGTGTAAAATCTCATATTCACAGGCAAGGATGACATCCAGAATTTGTGAGGGATGGCCTTTTTTAAGGTCATAATTATAGCTGCCAGCCTTTCCTGTTTGCAAATATTTTGTCTGGATTTATATTTTATTAGATTAATAAATATTTAAACCATTTTACACAGAAAAAGCCTTGTAAAAAGCAAAGAAAAATATAACAGCTAGATAAAAAAAAATAAAGGAAAAACAAAGGGGATGCAGAGGAAAATAGATAAAACCTGAAAGAGTTTCTACATGCAGCTGGATTTTTTTAGGAAATGTGTATTTAAAAAAACCTTTTCTTATTTTCTTTTCAAAACCACGCGGTGACAGCATAGCTGTAAAGACAACAGGTAGAATTAATTAGGAGAAGTGAACAATTAGAGACAAAGCGTGCACTCAATTTTTTTGCTTGTTTCTGAGAAAGCATAGATATTCTTGCTGTAATTTTTGTTTTTAATATTGGGATTACATTACATTTTAGTCTCAAACCTGGTAAAATATTAGAAAATACACAGAGTATTCAAAAAGTGAAAATTAATATTACTGTTATTTAGAGAGATTCACAGATGTGCTTTAATTAAAAAAATTAGTAAAAAATAAATTATATTTTTCTTATATCTTTTAGATTACTCCAGGAAGTAAGGCTTCAGCAGCCAATTTAAGTCCTGGTGATGTCATTCTAGCTATTGATGGCTATGGTACAGAGAACATGACTCATAATGATGCACAGGAGAGAATTAAAGCAGCATCACATCAACTTTGTCTCAAAATTGAGAGGTATTTCATTATATGTATGGACCACAACATCATATTTACTTTTGGAGGAGACATTAAGAAACTGAGGTCTTTTTTCCTCTTATCCGATGACTGTCTAGGTAGACATTACATATTCCATGGATCCTTTCAAAAAGAATAAGGAATGATCTAATTGATAGTATTCCATTTCTTAATTAAATAGATACCAGCATCTAAGATTCTGTGTATGATATTTCTGAATTCATAAGGGTTTTTACACTTTCTGTCCATTGACTTAAATGGGCTTTGGATCATGTCTATAAATCCTGCACTATCAGTATTATTTTTGTAGCACCACTAATGTGCATGGAACTTTACAGACATACAGGAGACCAGGGGTCCAATTTGCAAGGTGCTGGCCATCTCTTCTTCAATGGGAACAGCATCTCACAGGATCAGGCCATTACAATCTAGGGCCCTAATTCTGCAAACACTTATGCACATACTTAACATTACTAACATGAGTAGTACCATTCACATCAACGGGGCTACAGATGGTTGTAAAGTTAAACACATGCAAAACCAGTTGCAGGATCATGGCTTAAAGCCTCAATTCAGGAAAGCATCCCTATTGAGGATGGCATTTAAGCATGTGTTTACCTTTAAAGTTTGAAGTCAACATGAACTTAAGCACATATTTATAAGTTAAGTGAATGCTTAAGTGTTTTCCTGAATCAAGGTCTAAATTAAATAGATAGCATAATAACAAATGACTCAGTCCTTTAGGCAATGCTTTGGGATCACAAGAGTGCAAGGTGCTTCATAAAATTATGTTTTCTGGGCCTGAATCTGCAGCTGTAGTTCTCACAACATTTCTACTAAGGTTGATGAAAATTCTGTGCATGGGGCAGCTGTAAACTCAGTCCATAATTTATCAGTGTTTTAAATATATGAGCCACAGATGAAAATTTAACTCAGTCATTAAATTGCCACAGAAATAACTTTTAAAATATGCTGACCATATTACTGCAGTTCTCCTTTTCATGTCAAGAAACATGTTTATTGGCGAGAGCACTGTGGCTACAGCACAGGTTTGGGAGTCAGAGAATCTACATTTTATTTAAGGCTCTCTCACTGACTTGATGTATGTCAGTGTTAGGGCCTGATTTTCAGAGTAAGATATGTGTAAGTAAGCATGTAAAAATTCTAAATTTACACATATAATTACTACTATTATGCATGCCAAAGGGACGCAAAGGATCATTTGCACAGTTACCCAGTCTGCATACAAAACTGTAACAATTCATGCTCAAATTATGCTTTTTACATATGTCAATTGCACTTACCTAATTTTGAAAAACAGGCCATAAGTCTCTGCATTTTCCCAATTGAAATTGTAATAACTTCACATGGTTGCTTTTCAGGCTTGCTTAATTCGTATTTGTGAAATGCTTTGAGAACCTCAGGTGAAAGGTACAAAGGGCCTGCTGCTCCTGGTATCACTGAACTCAAGAAAAAACAATGAGGAGTCCTTGTGGCATCTTAGAGACTAACAAATTTATTTGGGCATAAGCTTTCGATTCAATTGGCCTCGTTAGCAATTACCCGGCCTCGTTAGCACTTACCCCCCACTTGGTAACGCAACTCCCATCTTTTCATGTGCTGTATATTTATACCTGCTTACTGTATTTTCCACTCCATGCATCTGATTAAGTGGGTTATAGCCCATGAAAGTTTATGCCCAAATAAATTTGTTAGTCTCTAAGGTGCCACAAGGACTCCTCGTTGTTTTTGCTGATACAGACTAACACAGCTACCCCTCTGAAACCTGAACTCAAGAAGAAACTATTATAGAGCCATACATAATCTTTAGTACAGTGTATCTTCATGTATAACTTACTATGTACATTTTCTGACTAGTAAATTCACAAAAACAACACATAAGATTCTGTCCACGTCATTAAAAGAATTTTATATGTTAAAACATTCAAAAGGATTTTTGAACAAACTTCAGATTTTAAGTTTGCAGTGTATATATTTCATGTATATGTGCCATGTTTATGGGAGGGATTTTTTCTCTTATTTATAGGGCAGAAAGTAGATTATGGTCTCCACAAGTTTCAGAAGATGGCAAAGCTCATCCCTTTAAAATAAATTTGGAAGCTGATCCACAGGTAAGAAGTTTTATAAGTCACCAACATATTTCAATATAGCTTTTCACATTCTAAATTGTCTCATTCATTGTCATAATTCTTTATAGCACATTTCCTCCACTAACTGTCTACTTAACTTGATATAAATCATAAAATGTATTAAATACATGGACATGATTTTAAATGATTGACATTTTAAATTTCACATTTACATTTAAATAAAACCTAAAATTCTCTTGTGGAAAAACTGCAGAGTGCCTCAAACGTTCTCTCAAAACTTTACACTTCACTATAGTTTTATTATGGAAAGAAAATATCTCCTTTGATACTAATGTTGTTTAAATTGCTGTATCTCTTTTTGATATTTCATCCATCATATTTTTTATTTCTTCAGATGGGACTAAATGTCAAATATCAAAATTATTCAGTTATAATACCATAGCAGCAGTCTTTGTGATGTGACAGTCAGTTGAACTGGGTGGTGCAGTAAGGTTGAGTATCTTTAACTCAATAAACAATTGTGGCACCATGCAAAGCCACAGAGCTTTAGAAAATTGCAAATTCTGAATTTGTGGAAGACTAAACTATTCAGACAGCCATCAAATGGATTAGTCATAAACTGGAACATTCTATCTGTAGCTAAGAAAGGTAAAGTCCTTATCCCTGCACACGAGCAAGGCAAATGAAATCGGTTTGAATTCTCCCCTGCCTAGAACTTATATAGAAGTCCTTGTACAGATCTGCATGTGGGAGGGATGTCCAGGTCCACACTGATCAATGTATAACTATCCACTTTAACTGCAGCTCTAGAGGCCGTAGGGGATAGATTTCAGCATGTGGTTCATAGTGCTTTGTTCCATTTGCCATACATTCTCTAGCCTTAGTACACCGTAACCTCAATATAACGTGACCCGATATAACACGAATTCGGATATAACGCGGTAAAGTAGTGCTCCGGGGGGACGGGGCTGCGCACTCCAGTGGATCAAAGCAAGTTCAATATAACGCGGTTTCACCTATAACGCGGTAAGAGTTGTTTGGCTCCCAAGGATAGCGTTATATCGAGGTAGAGGTGTACATAAATATTATTATTTCAATCTTAGCTGAAAAAAGATTATTATTGTGCTGGCAGGACAGCATCAAAACAAATATTTCAATATATTATTCCATGATAGATTATCATGACTCTCTATTCCACAATAAATTTAAGAACAGAGTCCATCCCAGTGAATTCCATGAAATAAGTGATGCAATCCTGCTCTGACAGGCTTTTAAACATGAATATAATCTCAAGGTTCCAATTCTACCTATTTTTTCCAAATATCCTACAAACCTTTGTATTAACTAGTACAATGTATTTTAGCAAAAATAGTATAGTAATTTTAGTAGTATGCTACCAGGCATCAAGAAATGATACAACTATTTTAAATGCATAGTTTTGTGGGGTATCTAGGACATACACGGAAGAAAAGGCTTTTGTAATGTCAGGGTTTCCTCCAAATAGAAAAAGCTGTAGAAAAAAAAATCTGAGTGACAACAAGCCTACACCATTATAATTCTATGCCTAAAGGAGACAGTTTTTTAAAAACACATAATGTAGTTGAACAGTTAAGTACTATTTGGCAACAAATTATTGAAAAGCTATCTCCATTACTGTCATCAGAAAAACTGCTCCTGCTATAGCAGTGGTTTTCAACCTGTGGTCCATGGATCCCTGGGGATGTGCAGACTATGTCTAAGGAGTCCACAAAATGTTGTCATTCCCATAGAACAGTGGTTTTCAACCTGTGGTCCGTGGACCCCTGGGGGTCCTCAGACTGTATCTAGTATTTCCAAAGGGGTCTACACCTCCATTCAAAATTATTAAGGGGTTCACAAATGAAAAAAGTTTGAAAACCACAGTGCTAAACTAAACAGTCAACATTCATTTGCATGTCTACTTCTTCCCTTAAAAGGGAAATAAAAAAAGTTTATATATAGTCAGCAACAGATAGGTCTTCAGAAAAGTAGTTGAGCTTGTAAGCAAATATGATGAACCATTTACGGGAGTATTTACATTTGAAATCCAGTACTATCATTCTAGAGCAGAGGTGGGCAACCGTCGGCCCGCGGGCCACATGCAGCCCGCAGTTGCCCACCACTGTTCTGGATCATCCATCATACTGATCTACTCTGCACAAAAATGACATTATTAATTCTGTTTCTGAAATAGATGAAACTTTAAATTAAAGGAGATTTATTTTACTGCATATTTAGACACAACACCTGAAGACTGCCATATAAGTTCTGCTACTAAAAGAAATATAGTGGCAAAATTTCTTAATGTTCCTCATATCTTAGCCTGAGCTGGTGAATTATAGTGCATCTATAATAAATGCTGGTTTAAGTCACATTGATTTAAGGTTGTTGAAAACTGAGAGAAAGATGGATACAATGCCTGAATTAAATAAAGGCCTTAAATGCCAAGATTAATGAACAAATCCCAAAGCATTGTATATTCCTTATACTCAAAATCCACTACATTAAAAAGCTTGTCCATCCATGAGTTGGTCTGCAAAAGCAGGAAACCATCAAGTTCTATTAAAAGCATTTCCTGTTCTTAAGTCTCTTTTGAACTTATTCCACAGGTCATAGTTGTGGTAAACACAGGACCCTTTTCAAAATCCAGCCACAGTTTTTGACTCTCTGCCAGACAGAAATCTTTGTTAATATAAAGTTAATGTTTACTACAGTAAGTAAAGTATCATAAACATTAAAAAAAATCAAGAATATTACTGTTTTTAAAAACTGAACATTAAACAGTACATAAATAATATAGATCAAGATTCATGCATGCCTGAGCAAAAATCTACATGACAATCAATGACTCTGAGAAATGTATTACTTCTGTTTGAGAGTTCTAAAATTACAATTACAAATAACCAAAAATATAAAACACATTATAAGTGATTCACTGCTCCAGCATGCTAGCAGAGAATTCAGTTTAATTTAAATTTCAGCAGGTGCACAGCCATTCTCCAGAAGCTCACAGGAGGCCATATAAAAATTTAAAAAATTAAAAATAATTCACCTAGTTCCAATCATGGAACTTCAACTAGGAACCTTTAGCATAAGAAAGAAATAGGCTAAGTAGTCTCACAGAGTTTAGAAGATTCATAGGCTCTTATACACAGCACTGAATACTGCCCCATCTCCCCCCCCCACACACACACTGTTCAGCCACAACAGAACGAAACAAAGGAGGCAATGGATGTGGTGTAATTAGGTCACAACATTATTCACCTAAAATATCTGGGAATACTCGGCAATATACTTTACAGTGCAGGTCATCATCCTTCCCTTAATCATTTTCACATAATCACTCACTTGGACCCCACCATCCAGAGGCTACAAAAAGAGGGGAGTTTGGCACCCTGCCATATAAGACATAGGCGCCCTGAACACACACCCCCACCCCCACCCTTCCTCAGCTCCCTAAAGAATGCTTTCTTTTACATCCTATTCCAATCAATTTTATCTCATAACCATATCCCTTTCATAACTAGTATCTGCACTGGACATCTGCCACAAGTTCTACTTACTGAGTTATGACTTTATAACCTAACCCCACTGCCTCACCCTGCCAGACCCTAACCTTGCTGTGGGGAAGGTGAAGGAAAAGCCCCCAAGGAAAAAGGGTTAGTGTGATGCCCACAATGGATCATGAAAGAACCCTGTCCTTTTTCAGAATCTAAGGGTGGGAGGGTGGGTGTTGCCAGCCCAATAAAGGTAAAAGTGGGCTTCACTGAGACTGCACAAGGTATAAACACCAACACCCTTTTGGTCAGCTGGAAGGCCAATGCCTCCCCCCCAACCTGATTCAGCTGTTTCCTGCTTCTTACCACTCTCTGCAGGTAGACATTCCCCCTTCTTCCACCTCTGCGACTAGTTGCAGAGAGAGCGCCCTCATTTCTTTTAGCCAGCTGGACAAGGACTTACTGCAAGTGTGGTGAGCACACTTTCTCCTCCTACTCCAGGAAGAACTGTGGGCAGGGGCAAGCAGTGAAGCCTACGGCAGAAATACTACTTAACAATAGGAAATGCTGCTTGAGAGCTATTTTTGATGACCACCTTGATTGATTCTGATAGAAAATATCCAGCTTTTTCATTTCTATTGAAATATGATGTAATATGATGGATAAATATTGTGAAATAATAGACCATTTTATTAGTATTAGTAACACAGCCAAACACAGTGTTATGTAACAAAGCAATTTAGAACATAAGGATCTCCACTAGTTTAAACAGTCAGAGAAAATAAGTCTGCCTAAAATGGCTAATGCATGTTGCTTTCATAATAAACACTTCTTTTGGTTTGTTCTTTTATGTTCTACTAGCAGTGTGAAACAGTGCTGTATATCATACACTTTTCTTTCTCCTTTTCCCTTTTTTTAACCTTGGCTAAAATGACTGTGTTTGTTTTTCTTACAGTAGTTTTTTTAAATTATATTTTACTTCTGCCTTACTTTGTGGATTTCCTGTCATTTTAAATATGGTGTTCAGTGTGATTTGATTTTTGAATAGGAAAGATGTTATACTTTCCCTAATTTTATTATTATATAGCTAAGGGTAGAAATCTAAACAAAACCAGAAAAAGAATCCAATAATCACCATCATATATATGATCAGAATGTATTAGTAATTGCAATCAAGTTTTAAAGCATGATAATTATGCTAAAATACGAGTCCCTGCCCTTCCCACACCTTCATTTGACACCAATTTACATCTCCCAACATTGTGCTATGAGTTAAACTAAAGGTCCTTCAGTGTTAGGACACCTCCAAAACATAAACAATAATGTACTTTTTATTAAAGAATACAACATGAATAATAATATATTATTAATTAATATGTGGCCCCAGTCCTGAACTCATTCTATGAGCACTGTTCATACGTGTAAACTGCTTGAGCCACCTTCCCTCTGTTTCTGACATGAACATAGTAATGAAAATAACTTAGCCCTGTACTGATTAGAAGGTCATCTGTTAGCTATAACAACATAATTAAATATTGTAATTCCTTCTTATTCCTGTTTTGACTTTGAATGCTCTTGGATCTTACTAAATTTCTAGTATAAAGGAACAACTTTCCTAGTTTTAAGTATGATAAACACAAGAGCTGGACTGTTTTAACAGCTGCTGTATGTTTTGTCGTTGACATTTTGTGCACATTATGATTTTCCTAGAAAAGGGAATTTAAGTCTAACTAATTGCAACAATGCAAACACACTTTTGACCATTGTAACATTGTGAAGATGCTATTACGATGTCACGTCTTCTGTTCATTTGTCAACAACAATTAAAAATTAGATGAAATGACAATTTTTAGGATTTTTTAATATTTGCTTATTGTGACCTAAATGTATATGATGAAATTGAATCAATTTCCAATACTGTGAATCAAATACATTACATAAATTAGAAATGATCCTCAATGATAGTGAAAGATAATATCTAATTACTAATATACTGTCACATTGCATCCCCTTCACAATGTACAGCAACACAAAACTGCAAATGAACTTCTCTATGTTGATTTACCTACGTGCTGTTCTTGTAGTCTTCTTCAGTTCATTATTTCTTAACTTTCTCTTTTAATAGACCGCTTTTTTCTGTTTGCATCTTCTGGTAGGCACCCTATGTATCTATGATTTTTCTTTTTTATGGGCTAATAGAAGCTCTGACATTGACCTCTTCCCTAGAAATGAAATTTAGTCTATTTCAGTTACAAATAATTTCAGGAGCTATGCCTTCCCCAATGGTCCCCTGCCAAATTTTTTGGCTTTAGAATCTCATTTCCCTATTTTAAAATGTGTTTCTCTCCCCTATTGCTGGGTGACAAACACACGCAAACAACAGAGGACAGGGACTAGCTAACAATTAAGGTAAACAATTAAGCTTACTATAGACAAAATTCATAAAGCAAACAGTGAAAAAAGAGAAAAATACTTTTTAAGTGTATATGATTATATGCAACCCTTATACCAATTACTAAATTATTGAAGGTTTTACGTATATTTGCAAACATGCCACTCATTCTATTTGTCTTCACAAGGCAGACAAATAATATTTGAATATACATGGATTACTCAGCGCATGAAAGTTTAATGGATAAACACAGAATGTCTGTGTAACCTTTGGGTTTACTTAATCAAGTCTTTAAATTCCAGCGGAGAAAGATGAGATTAACAAATTCCAGTGTTGTCAATTTTGCTCGTTATTAGCTTCAGTGTGCACTGTAGCTTTGTGTATTTTGTCTGCCTATTACGTACAGGAATTCAAGCCTATTGGTACAGCTCATAACAGAAGGGCCCAGCCTTTTGTTGCAGCAGCAAACATTGATGACAAAAGACAGGTAGTGAGTTCCTCCTATAATTCTCCAATTGGGCTGTATTCATCTGGCAATATTCAAGACGCTCTTCAGGGACAACTGAGGGGTCTAATTCCTAGTTCACCTCAAAAGTAAGTATTGGTATTTACTTATATTACATGGTCTTTTGTGGCAATACTACTCTGTTTTGTTGTCCATTCAAAAGTCCAGCTCTTGCTGTTTTATTTTTCCTTTCTGATACTCTAAACTTCTGTCATATTTTTCAAAAATGGTGATAAATGAAGCAATTTCCTTTTAACATCCAGGAGTGAACATTCAGCTATAAAAGTAGTGATAATGCAGATAGTTAAAAATTCCCCTTCACTGGGTTTGGCTGCGATACTACACACCATCCTTCTCTCTTACACTACCCTGTACTCTTCTGTGTTTCTGACTATAACAGCAAGTGTGTTTTTAATACCACTAGTATGCAACATAAAAATAGTTGGTTCGTAACAATTTGTAACCTTTGTGTACGCTAATTTTACCCAGTAATAAATATTCATCAACTGAAGGAAGTTATTTTAATCCTTTTTTTTTTTTTTACAGGATACGAATTACTTTGAACACAAGCATAATATTCGTCCCAAACCTTTCATAGTCTCAGGCCGAAGCAGGTTATAAACTCTAGCTGTATGATGTGTTGGATGCATGGGTTTTTTAATGCATACTTACAATTCATATGAAAATGTGATATTAATGCACTTGAAATTATTTTATGCGATTAAAGCTTATTTTAAAGCTTTTAAAAAATAAAATGCATGCTTTGCAGAGCTCAGGCTTCCATTTCCTAAAGGAAGAGGGTCCAGATTCTGATGTCAGTTACACTGGTGAGAGTCTGGAATAACTACAATGGAGGTTCTTCAACTCAATGGACCTGGTCCACATTTACATCAGTGCAATTGAGATCAGGATCTGACCTTGACAAGTTTATGGAGCTGTGAAATTCTCTAGTCCCACTATCCGTATGACTTGTAAACTTGCTAATTAAGAATTTAATCCAACCTGTCATATCAGGATCCTCTGAACCATGTAGATTGCAAAGGCCACACAGGCTGACCTATTCACAATGCAATCTGCTGCAGAGGAACTAAATAAAAGAAAAATCTGAGCTCCACAGAGTTGCAAAACTATCAGAAAAGGGAAGAGTTTACGCACATGAGCTCCATTTTTTTAATCTAACCTCTCTCTCATATAATTGGGCGTTATAATGCCTGAAACAATACTACTTGATCAAAATAGAAGGGAAAGTATCCTTCTAGAATCAAAGGCAGCCTCTGTGGCTACATAGGCTAGGAGGCCTCACAGGTTTGAGTGGCCCAATTTCTATGGACGCTGCTTTCCGTTACAGGAGTTTTGTTACTACCAGTGGCTTCAGTTCTGTACCTTATTTTCAAAGTAAAAAATATTTGTGCCATAATTCCAGCAACTCAAGTCTGATACAGCAGTCTGAGACGTCAAAGCAGTTGGCATGAACCTCACTGACATCCTATTCATAATGGGAAGACACATACAGTTTATCAAATTATGTGAACTGTCCAGTTAGTGAACCAGTACAATTAAAAAGATTAAGGGTGTTGTTCATTTGTTTTGACAAATTAAGTTTAGTTTTAATTATGTATATTCTTAGTTATTATTATTTCTACAGCTGTTACGCATCTCACAGACACATACAAATGACAAGATCCATACCCTGAAAAGTTTACAATCTGAGGGATAAATCATCAGATTACGATCTAGTGCATTGCAAGGGGCAGCACATTGTTGCACTGCCCTCTGGGGGCCCTAGACGGGAGATTTTGGCACAGGGAGTCCATCTCTCTCCCTCAGTCTCCCCACAGCTGTTGAGAAGAAGTAAACAGCGCGAGGTCTAGATCTGTTGTAGTGTATGCTTCCCAATGTGCCAGTTTAACTGCAGTCTGCAGTCCACCCACTTCCTGTCCACTTCACCCTTTCCCACTCACCTGCAGGAGGTGGGGATGCAGCAGCTCTACTCTATGGGGCCTGCTCCTCCCATACACAAGAAGTGCCAGTAGAGAGCACTGGCACAGAAGAGTCAGAGTGTAGCTTATGCCCCCTTACTCCCTTGTGTTGGCACAAAGGACAGGTCACAATCTACGTGTGACCCCACTACAGCACTCTATTATTAAATCTTTGCAGAGAAGTGGCGTGAAACTGTTTTTTGTGACAATTTTGGACTTGTAGACTATCGCAGTGAGAATTTACAAGGTTCAACTATATTAGTAAGATCTTTTTCTCATTTAGTTGAATGTTGGGACTGTCTATAAAAGGTCATATATTTTTGAATTTATTCTTCTTACAGTAAGCACTCTCATTCTATATAATCTTGAATATTTAGGATTGTTTCATAATGTATGTTCTGAACATTCATTTTTTAAATCAAGCAATGCTTTGTAAAAGATACATATTTAAACAAATGACCATTTTCCAGGATTGCAGATGAGAAATTAGATGCAAAAATTAATCTGATAAGAAAGGTGATCAAGCTTTCTGGTCTTAATTAGTTAATATTTGTAAAGTGCTTTGACAATGGAAAGTTCTGTATACTTCAAATTTCAAGTATTATTTATTAGCCTCAGATGAATGGTGCTATGCAATTGCAAAGTAGCAGCAATAGTATTGGTTGCCAGTTAATTTTTTACCCTCTGGACTGAACATATACGTTAAGCAAATTCTACTTATTTGGTACCTAAGGTCACATTTGCCAAAAGAGAATTTTAATTTATTATGTTGAAGTTCTCAAAGCAACTGTTGCGGATTACATCCCAAAACAGGTTACATTCATATTATTCTTTATTAAATACAGTAATAACACATCTCAGTTGTAAATCTCTCTTCAGGATATAAGGCCAACTCCTACAGTCCTCTCTCAATAGGAATTTTGCCAAAATAAGAACCAAGTATGAACTGTAGGATTTGGCCAATAAATGGAATTTTAGGCACAATTATAGACTTCATGCTGACAAAACTAATTAACAGATGTATGAAATCTTTACACTAACTTAGCATTGCCTCTCTTTGTTGCTGGTAGCAATAGCTATGCTTCTTTTGGCCTTCTCTTAATGTATTCCATTTTTTGAAACTCATCATTAACAAGTGTTGCTCTGTCACAGGATTCAAATCTTCTAAAGTGTGACCCTGATTTTTCTAAGCACTGGCATGTGTATCTGTGACTGGTCCCTTCTATGGGCTTTTGGCTGGGGCATGCTGGGACAGCATACTTACTTGGGAACTTGCCTGTCTTTTTTGGAATTAATTTTCCTTTGATGGTAAGGAATGTTTCTCTCTTTAAACTTTCAGAATGTGGTCCTGCACAAATTCCACTTAAGAACTAAATGGAGAATAATTTTGGGTCATTTTAGCCTCTCTTCCTCCTCTCCAGGGCAGAGTTCTGAAATGTAGCTGTCAGGCAGGCACTGTACTGTATCTCCAAACTTTTGCGGATACAGACTAACACGGCTGCTACTCTGAATCCAAACTGAGAGCAATATAAACTTCTCCCTGATTTACTCAGGAGTCAGCCAGGAAAGAACCTATCAGTACACAAACATGTAGGTTGAGGGAAGCAGACTGAATCACAATCCTTCCCAAGAGTTTGATTACCATATTTATACGACTGTGGCCCTGAGAAGGAAGTGGTCTCAGATGACTGTGGAAGGCCTGGATTATACATTGTTCCTGGAAAAATTGCCCCCTCGAAAAAGAAACCCTCTGAGTCCAGTTAGGGCTGAAGAGGGCCTAAGTGCTATGGGAAAAACGGTAAAACCAGTGACACTAAAAAGAAACATTTTGATATAATATTCACTACGTTACTCTGCTAATCATTTTCCTGAGGTTTTGCTCATATTAATGCCCAGCGGCTTTACAGCTTTTCTAAAACTGGAGTTGTAGCCAACATCCTATTTTCATTCTAAATCAAAAATAAGGTCAAATTCAAAAGTAACAGAGACCAAGATTCATTTCATATTCTTTGAGAATCTATTCTGTTTTTGTGAAGGGCCATTTTACATTCTGCTTGGAATTGTTATAATTTAGAATGGCAAAAGTATGTCCAGTTATTTTTTAACATTTTTAACTTTTTTTGAAATTTTCAACAATATATATGGAAAAAATATGTATTAAATAAATGTATTGTTGAAATAAGTTTAAAGGTGTAATAAATACTATAGGTTAGTATTAAGGACAATCTAAAAAAGTCACATATGTTATTTTAAGTTTTCTTTATAGAAAACCCTTTCAAGTGAGGAAATGTAATGTAGCGTTTAGGTCACAGACTGGAATGAAGAGTTTGGGTTCTAATTCCTGGCTCTGTCACTGACTGTGTGATCTTGGGCAAGTCACTTAACCTCTCAATGTCTCCACTTCCCATTGTGAGGCTGGAGTAATGCTTACCTAGTTCAGAGGGGTATGGTGAGGCTTCATTAATCCTCTGAAAAAGGCACAATGTTAAAAGTACAAAGTAATATTATTTTCCAAGTACTCTGAACTTTCAGAAGGTTATATTTAATGTCAGTGACAGGGGAAAATATATTTATGCACTGGGCTTTCACAGATTCAGAGGTTTTAATTGATTGTTCTCGGGTTTTGTTTGTAGGTGTTGTTTTTTTGGGGGGGAGAGTAGGGAATTAAGGAAGTAAAGTTGACTAGATTAAACATACTTTTGCTTTTCTATATTTGATAGATTTCATCTCTTTCTTTACAGTCATGTTAACATCTCTACACTTGTTTATTTTGTCTTTATTTTGGGTATGTGTTGCACACCTTTCTGTAAACTGGCTATTAACACAGTGGAGGCAGTACTCCTTCCGGTATTGATGGTGGCAGTGGACGTAGTACCCCCTCTTCTGTTAGCACTATCTGCCCTACTGACTTGAAAGCTGCATCTAAGATGGCCCCTAACATTCCCTTGGAAATGGAACTTCCTGGTGTCAAGATTGTACATGCTCAGTTTAATACACCTCTGCAGATGTACTCAGATGATAATATAATGGAAACACTGCAGGGCCAAGTTTCTACAGCTCTGGGGGAAAATCCCTCAATGAGGTAATCAGAGCTAGCATGTGCACTGAATATATTTGCTAAAGCATTAACATTATCAATTTCCATACTGTTTCTACATTAAATTTTAAAAGCTATCTAAACTGCAACTAAAGATTTTGAAGCTTATATTAAAATACAATTAATTAGGGCTGTCAAGCAATTAAAAAAAATAATCGTGATTAATTGTGCGATTAAAAATTAATTGTGATTAATCGCACAATTAAAACATTAATCATGATTAATCGCAGTTTTAATTACACTGTTAATCAATATTAGAATACCATTATTTAAATATTGTTGGGAATTTCTATATTTTCAAATATAGAGTCAGGGCTGGGAGCTATGGGGCTTCAGCCCCCCTCGGGGCCTGGGGCTCAGGGCTTCAGCCACTCTCAGGACTCGGGGCTTCAGTCAAACCTCAGGGTTTGGGGCGCAAGGCTCCAGCCCCCCCGCCACCCAGGAAGCTGCGGGCTGGAGCTGCTCCACCCCACCCACCCACCCCTGCCCGGGAAGCTGCAGGCTGGGGCTGCTCCAGCCCCCCTGCCGCCTCCGAAGCTGTAGGCTAGGGCTTCAACTCCCACCATGCTTCCTCCTGAGCTGCAGGCTGGGGCTTCAGCCCCTTCTCCCCCCGGTCGATGCTTCCCACCGGGCCCACAGGTATGCAATTAACATGTTAAAAAAATTAACATGTTAATTTTGCTTTCAGTTAATTGAAGGCGTTAACTGCGATTAATAGCCAGCCCTACTATTAATGTATTAAAAATATTTTTCTAACCCAGATTGTTAAAGATGTCTGTCAACATACAAAAGACAAGTGTTACAGGTCAGACTCACTTTAAAAAAAATCTCCCTCTATTTGCAGCTGATAAATACAAGCTGATAACTGTAGCTACTCTTTAAAACGGACTCTTGATCCACTCCTGACCAGGGCCTCAATCCTGAAAAGACTTACATACACAGCTAATTTTAAGCTCTAACGAAGTCACACTGAGTTCAATTGGACTATTCTAGTCCTTAAAGTTCAGCACCTGCATAATTCTTTGCAGGACTGGGTCCTATGACACCTATCCCTATCATCTGAAGAAGAAAAATTAAAGCAGTCAGTATACAACATTTTACAATCTGTTGCAGTCTTTCATGCCCAGAATGGGAGCCGCGAGAAGCAGTGTGGGCCGCAGGTTGCCCACCACTGCCCTACTGCCTGGTTATCCATCATCAATAACATTTTTTTAAAAAGCCAACTTGCTTTCTCCCCCTGTGGAATCCTGGATTAAGGATAAAAATTCAGGTTTCATAGATGGCAAAGGCATCCCCAGTTTGGGAACTGACCTTGCACAAAGCCCTGAAATGTCCCAACTGTTGGGGGTTACTTTTCCCTATGCATGAACTTGGAAAAGATATCTTAAAGTCTTGTGTCTGGTAAGTAAATTTTGTGTGTAACAAGTAATTCTACAACCATTACTTTTGATTTTTCTTGGGAACGTGTTAAAAATAAGTAAATCTGGATAAGGAGTTAAAAATCAACGATTAGTAGGAATAAAAAAAATGTTGATTTTTTTTTAAACTTAAATGAAGGTTTTTCCTTTTACTTGCTGCAGTCTTTGTTCACCAAAGTAAATTTAATAACAATGCATATGTCTTATGTACAGTACTTTCACCAAGAGTAAAAAGTAGTAAGTATGCTGAGGAGGAAAGATATTTAGTTCACTGTTTTAAAAACAGCTCAGAGATATCTGGTTGGGGAATCACAGAAATGTAGAGCTGGAAAGGACCTCAAGAGGGCATCTACTCCAACCCACCCATCCTGAGGAAGACCAAGTACACCTAGACCATCCCCAACAGATGTTTGTTTAACCTGTTCTTAAAAACTACGACAGGGATTCTACAATCTCTGTTGGTAACCTATTCCAGTACTTAACTATCTTTAAGTCAAAGTTTTTCCTGATATCTAACCTAAATCTTCCTTGCTATAGATTAAGGTCAATTGATCACAGTCCTCTTTATAACAGCCCTTAACATATTGGAAGACTGTTATCAGGTCCCCTCTCAATCTTCTTTTCTCAAGATTAAACATGCCCAGTTATTTTTAACTTTCCTCAGGTCAGGTTTTCTAAATTTTTTATAATTTTTGTTATAATCTCCTCTGGATTCTATCCAATTCGTCCACATCTTTCTTAAAGTGTGGCACCCAAAACTAGACACAATACTTCAGCCGAGGCCTCACCAGTGCCAAGCAGAGTAGAATAATTACCTCCTGTGTCTTACAAATGACACTCATATTAATACACTTCAGAATGATACTTGATTTTTTTGCAACTGCATCCCATTATTGATTCATATTCAATCTGTGACCCACTATAGCCCTCAGATCCTTTTCTGCAGTACTGCTGCCTAGTCAGTTATTCCCCATTTTGTATTTGTACATACGATTTTGCCTTCACCTTTATTGAATTCCATCTTGTTGATTTCAGACCAACTCTCCAACTTGTCAAGATCATTTTGAATTCTAATCCTGTCCTTCAAAGTGCTTGGTGTCATCCATAAATTTCATAAGCCAACAATATTATCCAATTTCATTATCCAACAATAACTAGTACCAGACCTGGGACAGATGTCTCCAGGCCCCCACTGAATATGACCTCAAAGTTTGACCACAAATTAGGATTATAGACAATCAGGGCATCCAACATGCAAACACAGGACAAAAGATTTTTGACCAGTCACTCAGGGTACGTCTTTACTACCCGCCGGATCAGCGGGCAGTGATAGATCCAGCGGGGGTCAATTTATCGCATCTAGTCTAGACGCAATAAATCGACCCCCGAGCGCTCTCCCGTCGACCCCGGTACTCCAGTGCCACAAGAGGCACCCGCAGAGTTGACAGGGGAGTGGCAGCAGTTGAATCACCGCGGTGAGTAGGTCTAAGTACATCGACTTCAGCTACATTATTCACGTAGCTGAAGTTGCGTAACTTAGATCGATTCCCCCCCCCCCCCCAGTGTAGACCAGGCCTGAGTCTATTTCTATTCCATTTCATATTCTAAACCTTACTCTCAAGAAACTCGAGACAGATGGACACACACAAAGCCCAGTCCAATCCCCTTGCAAGCAATGGGAGTTTTACCATAAGGTTGGGAGTAGGAGCAAGCTCATAATGAGAGACTTAAAATTAACATTTATCTCTGAATAAATGCAGTAATATGCTTCATTAAAAGTATACGATACTCCTTTTACTTAGTTCCCCTAATACTCAAAAAGTTGAAACTCCTTTGTCTTCAGCCTAATTCTTCACAATGCATCCAGGGTGTCTGTTCTTCACCATACCTGTATATTTTGTTAGTAGTAATGCTTAATATAAGACAGCTATTATGAAATATTAGGGATACAATCCTGGCCCTACTAAAGTCAATGGGAATTTTGCCATTGACTTTAATGGGGCCTGATTTTCTCCCTGTGTGTTTATTTTGTTAAGGCAGACACTACAAAAAGTAAGCAACAGACCAATTTTATTTAATTAAAAAAAAATCATTTAATAAAGCTAGGCTTTTAAACATTTGCCGCTGGAACATGTGTTTCATTGTCTTTTCCTATGAACGTAAGTTAAGTAAATCACACTGACCATTATTTTATCATAATTAATATATTAACTAGTGATTGGCTGATGATGCCCTGCAGAAAGACTGAGTTGTTCAGATTTCTGCAAATCTATCTTAATACTGTGAGTGATATCATGTTTTAATACTACCCTTGAAGCTATTTGACCTGAAAATGGTATTCTGGAAATTAAGTCAAAGAGCAGCTGGTGACTTGGCTGCAGACTTACAGGGCTGCAGCTGTTTTGAGGGTAAAGACAAGTAATGGCCCATTTCCAATGCAGCTATAGCCAGAAAAGTAACTGTAAAAATAATATCACGGGGTATCATATTTATTCTCTAGCTAGACTTCTACATCTAATTTTTTAAATGTATAAATCAAGAGATGACTTTTCTAACTGCCAGTCTCATAAACTCAATCTAGGATCTGAAAATCAAGCTCAGCTCTGTCTTTTCAGCATCATCAGTAATAAAGATTTTGCATTCTAAATGTAGCTGATACATGAGGTAGAATAGAATAGTAAATAGCACTTATATGAAATCCAGGTTACTCTCCCCTGATTGTATTTGCTCTACTGGGCTAATAGTACTAAAACTGGATTTATCAGTAAAGTGCAGAAATTGGACTCAAAGACACAGTCTTTGGATATGTTGCTTAATCAGAAGGTGCCATTTTAACAGTCACTTTTCTGAGCTTGAATAAACTTTGATATTTATTTGTAAAATGAGAACTTTGCTTATGAGAATACTGTGCAGCAATAACAGGAATATTTATTTAGTTAAGAAAGATATATCAGAACTTCACCACTATACAAAGCATGCCAATCTAGTGAGGGGGAAGGCCTATTCAATGATTCTGTAAACTGATTTTTATCATAACTTTGTTTATTGAATCATATTCTTATGTCTGGTATCTCTACTGCTTTAAAGTTATATTGGTTAACTCTCTTTACCTGCTCATCCCTTGTTCATGTTGCAGTGAACCAGTGCCAACCTCTGTACCTCAATCTGATGTGTACAGGATGCTGCATGACAGTCCGGAAGGGCCCAGTCAACCACGTCAATCTGGCTCATTTAAGGTGCTCCAGGATTTAGTCTCCGAGGATTCTGGTAGGCAGCAATTTACTGTATATATCTGTTCCCAGCACTCTATTTTTTCCATGTGTTGAAAGGGGAAAACCTGAAAAGAAGATAGACAAGGATTAGAGCTATAAAATTCAATTTCACATTTTACTGCTTTACCCCTTTTATTAAATATTTAACATGTGCTATGACAATTAACTAGCCTTAAGACTTCCATTTATCAATCAAATATTCAGACTCTTGTCAGGTTTTTAAGACTGATAATGTGCAAAAATGTTTTGATTGAATGATAAAAATGTTGAATGAGAAAAGTTTTGGGGTGAGATAAAAATACCACTGAAACAGGAAAAGAAAATTGGCCATCTCTTTCTAAACCAGGAAAAGAAGGGGGAAGAATTTTAAACTCTTTCCTCAATTAAGTTTCTTCTCTTGCACTCACTTCTAAATAAAAAAACAAAATGATGCTAGAAAATTGGTTGAAGAGAATACAGTTTGCACTTGCATTTTCCCATAATTATACTTTATCAAAAATACTCTAATTGATGAGTTTTTCACAATAAAACAGATGGGAAAAGAGCATTATGAAATTCTGACAGTTTTATTATATCTGTACTAAATATAAAGGGCAGAATTTAAACAAAATTGATCTAAAATTAACAGTTTACAAGAAAAGGCATGTATAATGTCATAATAGATTTTTGCTTAGATTTTGATATCACTTTTTATTCATATTGTGTTATCAATCTTTCAGAATGAATTTAAAGGTTAACTCTATAAATAACAAGTAAGGCTGTGAGTCTTTCACGGGCCCCGGGCTGCCCCCCAACCCAGAGCAGTGGCAGCGGGGCCCTGGACCGCCCAGAGTGGAGGCGGAGATCACAGATTCTGTGACTTTCTAGGACCTCTGTGACTTCCGCAGCTGCTGTGGCTGACTCTAGGGCCACCCGAGCAGCAGGTCTGGGCTCAGGGTCCCCAGGCAACTGGTTCCGGGCGCTGCCCCGGAGCAGTGGCTCGGGAACAGCAGCGGTGCCCACAGGCTGCCCCTGACTAGAGCTGCAGCAGTGTGGCCATGGGCCACCCCACACCCGGAGCCGCAGCAGTGGGGCAGCAGGGCCCTGGGCTGCCCCTCCCCCCAGGTAAGATTTAGTTAGGGGTATTTTTAGCAAAAGTCACTATTGCCCGTGACCTGTCCATGACGTTTACTAAAAATACCCATGACTAAATCGTAACCTTAATGACAAGTAATCTTTTCATTAGCTGACTAGATAGAAGTTCTGATATATCAACACAGAACACCACTTAGGGCCAATCCTACTCCCACTGAAGTTAATAGCAATATTCCCACTAACATTGATGATGCAAGATTTGACCCCTCAAAATTAAAAAAAGGTTATTGTAAAAGTCCTTGTATAGAGAAACTCTAACATTACTTAATGAAAGCAAAAGCTTATAAATAAGGTCCTACTTAACTTGCGATATTATGGAAATTGCAGATTCTACAATGTTACGCCTCCACCACAGTTTTGACAGTAGGGGGGCCGCTGCTTTCAGCACCTGATGGCTGACAGCGGAAAAATCACAGAAAAATAATAATGGACTTTATTACCACAAATAATAAGGTCCATTATTACTTTTCCGCAATTTTCCATGGCTTGTCCGCAACTCGGCAGCAATTTTTTGACAATCATCCTGCAATTGAAGCAGGGCCTTACTTATAAATCAATATAAAGTGGATACCCTCAAGCAAGCATTTAGTTATAGCCAGATGCTTCTGTATTATACTGTAAATAAATAAGAATGTTCTGTTTCTCAGATGGACGTCCCATTGGTACCAGGAGCGTGAGAGCACCAGAAACAAAGATGCCTTCTGGTGCAGGAAGTGTACAAAAACTGCCATTGTGTGACAAATGTGGAAATGGCATTGTGTAAGTTGTTTTTTTCTTAATTTTAATAAAGTTATAGCTATAGAATAAATCTTCAAAAGGGATTACAAAATACAGGAGGATTTTCTAAGGAATTTTCTGTTTGTAATTTTAGAAAAAATCAAAAAAATTACAGGTGCATTGAAAAGCTTAAAAAAATAAACTGTCCAAAATCATTAACATAATGTCTTAAACATTTCACTTGCAGAGGCCTGAGTTCAAGCTTCTTGGTACCTCTTGCCACACTCCATCATTAACACATATACTGAAAAGAGCAGCCGCATAGCCTGTACTGTATCAGGCTGCGATTCTCAAAGCTGCCTAATGGAGTAAGGTACCCAACTCCCAATTCAATGGGAGTTCTCATTCCTTCTGGCTCCTTTGAAATTCCCAGCCATAGATCTCAATGGTGTCAGTAATTCCAAACAGGGATACAGAGAATCCTGAACTCAGGTCTTGGTGGCTAAGTCAGAGGAATTGTTTTCTAAACTCTTTTCACTCCCTTGCTGCTGGGCTACATTATACCCTGTATACCAGGGGTAGGCAACCTTTCAGAAGTGGTGTGCCGAGTCTTCATTTATTCACTTTAATTTAAGGTTTCGCGTGCCGGTAATACATTTTAACGTTTTTTTAGAAAGTCTCTCTCTATAAGTCTATATTATATAACTAAACTATTGTTGTATGTAAAGTAAACAAGGTTTTCAAAATGTTTAAGAAGCTTCATTTAAAATTAAATTAAAATGCTGATCTTACGCCGCCAGCCTGCTCAGCCCGCTGCCAGCCTGGGGTTCTATTCACCTAGGCTGGCAGCGGGCTGAACAGGGCCTGCGGTCGGGACACCGGCTGGCAAGGGGCCGGCAGCTGGGCCCCCAGACCTGGGGGGGGTGTTCAGGGGTCAGGGCAGAGGGCTGGGTGTGTG